CGGTCGCTTGCGCAGCCTATCAAGCTTTAATTTCGTGCCGGGAGTAGAAAAATTCCTCAGCCATAGCCTCCCTCCGATGCTGCCCTGGCTTGGGTAAACTTCACTCCGAATAAGGCTGTGATCGATCATACCAGCGGCTCAAAGAACCGGTCAATCTCTTCCAACGTAGGATTGACGTACTCATCTTGGTCGTAAAAGTCCACATGTCCACCATTTGGCATGATAATCTTTCTCAGCCCCTTGTTATGCCCCAAAAGAACTTCGAAAAGGGCTTCCGCATGCCATTTCTGTGCAGACTTTTCCCCAGCCACAATCAGTACCGGCTGCGTAAGATATATGTCTGCAAAGGACCATGGGTCGAAGTTGGCGAGCAGTGTAAGAGACCGGAGAAGCATCTTGTTTTCCGATCTGGGGTGCTGCGCCCGAGGGGTCATGTAGTAGTCAAAGACCTTAAGAGCCTCTTCGGTGGGATTCTCGCCCAAGGGTGTTATGATTGGAACGGTAACCGGCTCGCCACCCTTTGCTTCGATTTGCCGCGCGTGGGCTACCTGTTCGAGGAGGCTCAGCTTTTCAGCTGCAACGTCTTGACCCTGAGAACCAAGACGAACGCCAAGGCCCATGTTGACGGGGCTCACGACTGCAACCGCCTTGAATCGATGATCGATTGTCGCCGCTGCCGTGGCGTAGCCGCCGCCGGCGCAGATCCCTAGAATACCGATGCGATCAGGGTCGATGAAGTCTAGACTCTGAAGAAGGTCGGCTGCAGCAGAAGCATCTGACACTCGGGCTGAGGGGTCCTCAAGGTAGCGTGGTAGACCCCCAGATTCGCCTTGATGAGCGGCATCAAAACACACGGTCACATATCCCCTTTCCGATAGTCTTTTCGCGTAAATGCTGACGGTTTGCTCCTTGACACCGCCTGTGGGGTGAAGGATAACAATACCAGGGAGTTTTTCAGTCGTAGAGCCGGGCCTGAAAAGGAGACCAGCGAGGTTAATCGAACCTTTAGTAATTGATATGGCAGACATTTTTGCGTATAGGGCGAGTGTAACAATGTTGAATGGAATACTGCGTTGGTCGTGTCACAGTGGTACAGCAGTTGTCTAAATATACGCACGATCAAGCTCTCCTCATCCGGCGACTGAGTCTGGCCATGGGATTAGTCGGAGTTAGCGGGCTTAAGTATCTAAGATATGTACTTTGGTACTTGATTGTCTCAGCTTGAAAACCGACCTGGAATAAGGGTACGGTATGATCATCTTTGCTTCTGGCATCGACTCGAAATCAAATAGTTGATGACGCGCCTACCAAAAAGATACTCATCCGACGCTGTGCGATCAAGCGGTATTACATGACTGGTCCGCAAACTGAATTCTGCTTTAATATCTGGACTATCTAGCACATACCGTTGTGCCAGAGGCAGCTCTGGGTCCTAGAGTGACAGAATGAAGGTACTACGCCAGTAGGAGCCCCTGTATCATCTGATTCTCTCCTGCTCAGATAAAGATCTGCATGTTGAGCTGAACTACCCAGAGGCCTCACTCCGGATCGAAAACTCATATCGCCGCGCTGTCGGAGGGTTCTTAAATCCTTGGAGGAACTAAAGTTTAGCGGTCATTCGGCTCCTAACCCTGATCGTCAAAGGCGGGGCCGCGGAAGAAACAGGGAGGTCCTTGAAGGCACCCTGTGCCTTTGTGGAAGCCCGGTAGCACTGTTTTAGCTCAGTGGCTTTTTTTCTCAAAGCATTCTCGTAAAAGCTGCGACGATCAGGGCGTCCTATTAGCCTTGCCGTCTGTGTATAGAAATCCGGGAGGCAGGTGCCGAGGAATGGTGTGCCCGATTTTAACTTCTGTACGATATCACATCCAGTAGATATCCGCAACAAAGGGATTGGTTCGCTAGCGCC